GCCTGCCATACAATGAGCTTCTGCCTGCTGAATTGACCCGCTGCTGCTGCGCTCTCATCTTCATCATCAGAGTAGAAGCCAACATTAGCAAGATGGATTTATGACTGAAGGAATGTCCACATTTTTTTTTTTCATCTCTGTGGGTAACAATACATAAAAAACGTTTATTTTTCTCCAAAAACACGGGTGTGAAAAAATCTACGGTTGTTAAAGCTTCGCCCTGCACGACGTGCAGCAGGAAGGAGGGAGGGAGGAAGTGATCCCGCGACACGACGGCAAGAAGTAAATTTTTTTACAGTGTCCGGAGGGGGGAATTTTGAGGATTTTTTCTCACTTTAATGTTTTAAAACGCCATATTTCTTCATTTATTTTCAGAATATTTTTAATAAACGGCCCTATAAAAAAATTAATTGTTTACCTGCACAGTTGGGCAGGCATCGGGACACACCCACCTGCCTGAATAGGGGTTTTACCTGCCCCGGGCAGTCGGGCAATAGGATTTGTCGAACCCTGAAAATGACCAAATTAAAAGTCCAGATATCTTTGAAGAAATGCATTTTACCGACTGCCTGTCATGGCAGCGTTTGACTTAGATCATATTATAAAGAGAGATGACAGAAATGTATCCAGTTTGGTCGAGCCTTAAAATGATGTTATGCTCAATAATTACCACAAGACATAGTCGTGCTTTGATGATGACCAAAGGTTTGCTCCAAATCTGTCAAGCTGTTGTATAGCCATATTTGTGTTGGCTAGGATTAATTTGTGGTCACAGTCATCTATACATCGAGTGTTTCAATAAAATTCATCCAATGATTCTTGAGATGTTTTGTCAACATCCCACTCAGGTTTAAAGGGCCAGTAGTCGTGTTTCCATCCAGTTGTAGAGTGACTTTTCAAAATTCACAAAAAATTAAATAAATAAAAATTTGAATCTAGACTGTTTCCATCTATTTTCCCTCTCGACTGTTTGATGCAAATAAACGACGCTACACAACACGTGATTACGTCAGACGAGGCTACGCGACGTGTGATTACGTCAGACGAGGCTACGCAACGCGTGGTTACGTCAGACGAGGCTACACGACGCGTGATTACGTCAGACGAGGCTACACGACTCGTGATTACGTCAGACGAGGCTACGCGACGCGTGATTACGTCAGACGAGGCTACGCAACGCGTGATTACGTCAGACGAGGCTACGCAATGTGTGATTACGTCAGACGAGGCTACGCAACGTGTGATTACGTCAGACGTCAGCGACAAGCTTTGCAGTAGTAAACAGGAAGTGAAACTTGCTAACTAGCAGAGGCTAATCATCTCGGGACAATGGAGCGATTTTTTTCGGGAATGCCTTGCTCTTGGGCAAGTTGTAATTATTCTATCTATTCAGCTAGTACAGGCTATGTTTAACGCTGCCAGGAGAYRTAGGGAAATAAACACAATGTTAAACTACGCAGAAGAAAGGCACGTGCAACTATGCAGGGCTAACATCCGGGACGAGGCAGGAAAGTGGAAACAGATGAATATCACGTGAGGTAAATATGCGCTACATCAGAATTTATTCGGCAAACGTGTTTCCATCTCCCGTTTTGYGCATTAACTACTTTGTGAATCATCCAAAAACCACCTCAAGCGAGCGTAAAAACTTTTTAGCGAATTGAGGATTTTTTTTTGAATTTTGCTGTTTCCATCCGACTTTTTTTCACATTTTTAATGCGACACTTCTAAATGCGCATCAAAAAACCTTGACGGAAACACGGTTAGTGACATCTAAGTTTTGTAATAAACATGAATGCATTTTTAGAAAGATAACACTGATAACATACTGCAAAACAAATTTCACGTTGCCGAGATGAACGGTTGTTGAGATATTTGCGTGTGAAGAAACAGGAAGTGATGTCAAAGGGGAATGTCTGCATGTAAACAGAGTGTTGTTACAACAGCTAATACAGACTGTAGAGAAGAATCTGATGTTTCTTTAGATTATTTTGAGTCACTATCAAAGAGAGACGGAGAAAAGTTAAAGTTTAAATAATTTTATTTTAATAAACAGACCAGCGAGTTTATTTTATTAATGAGTTCACCTTTGATGTCACTTCCTGTTTCACTTTGGCTGAGCCAAATTCAAAAGGAAATAGACCAGTTATGTGATAAAGCGAGTACAGTCATGTGTACTATGACAATTTTCTCAAGTATAAAGACACTATATTTGACTCTTTGTATTTGAATTATAGGCATGTCAGACACTTTAAAGTCAGAATACAAAATTTAATTCACACATTTTATTGTCTCTTGCTAATTAGCAGACATATTTAACAGAAGAGTTTGACGTGTTTTGCTGTGTAATGTGCAGTTGTTTCTCAGGAAATGTGTAACAGGTTCTGTTTACCTCTGAGAATAAGATCAAGGAAGGTGCTGAGGATGTCTTCAGAGTCTGTGCTGAGGACTGATCGAGACAGACAGGAAGTGAGTGCGGTGAGAGCGGCGAGCGCTGCAGACTCGATCTTCTCACTGGAGGTCTGAAACACCTGCCGAGAGGCAACAACAAACACTGCTCACTACAGGCTGATAACTAAAACAGGGAGGGAAATATAGTTTCATTTCCTAAGCACATTTGAAACAAAGTTAAAGAAAGTGTTTTATAAGTTTGCTGAAGACAAAGATTTTTTTTAAATTAATAAAAATGGTGGCCATTTTAAAAAGTGATGACTCCAACAGTTATTGTGAAAGTTGTAAAAACAATTATCTCACAGTGTGTCAGGGCTCAGAACATCAGCTACACCTACACCAAACCTGAGCTCATTATGTGTCAAACTCACTGAGCTACAGCCATCTCTGTTTTGTTTCTTTTACATTGCCTTGGCAGCTATCTTGAATCAGGCTGAAGTGATAAAAACATTTTGTTAGCGTATTTCAAGCAAACCTCTCTTCGCAGTGACATCCACAGTCCCTCAAGAAATTCTCTCAAGTCTTGGTCTTCATACTGTGACACACAAGCAGCCTGAAAAACACAAACCATGCTGACCTGAGGGTTTAGTACTGACACATTTATGTTTACATATTTCTGCTGTTGTCTTCTTCATCCTCTTTTTATTTGATCTTCTCACCAGAGTCTGCAGGGCGTCTAACTTGGCAGTCTGAACATCTGAGTCCAGCTTCTCAATGAGGAGTGGTAACAGAAACTGGAAGTTCAAACAGAAACCTGTAAACACTGTAAAAAATACTCATATCATCCGTGTAAACAAAGACCTAGCAGTCCTGAAAGGAATGTCTCTCAGCAGCCACCTTTCATGCTACCTTTAACACTAAGACCATTTTATTATGAGAAACAGCTGTTTTAGTCAAGAACAAGCACAAATTCCTGTGATATTTAAGATCTCACAATATGCTGTGTATGACTCTCAGTTACTACCACATTACATTAATAATAATAAATTTGTACTGGCCTGACTTCAGAGGTTAAGTTCAAGTTCAAGTTTATTTATATAGCTCCAAGTCACAACATACGTTGTCTCAGGGCACCATCTTGGCCAATGACCACACCTGGACCTTTCCACTCATGACAGTCTGTCCTCTTATAACAGACTTTTTCTCCTGTTGTATATTTTTCATCAGTGGATCGCAGCTGTTTACAAAGGGCTCTTCAGATCCTATCAGAGCATTCAGCCTCAGCAAAGGCTTTTCTCATGGCATGCAGTGTTCCAGTGTGGTGACCCATCCATGTGTTGACATCAGTTTCCAAAGCTGGAGGTCTATCAATGAGGACTGAAGGCAGATTTGGGTTTTGTCCAAAGACAAGTTGATAGGGGCTGTAGCCAAGTACACTGTGCATGCAGTTTTTGACCATCAAAGCCCAGTCCAAAGCCATTTTCCAGTCACATTTGTTGTCTCTCTTTACCTTAAGATTTCCGTGAGGATCTGATTGTCTTTCAAGGAGACCATTGCTCCATGGACTGTATCCTGCAGTGGTTTTAATCTCAGTGTTAAAATGTTCAGCCATCTCTCTTATATCTTCATTATTAAATTCACCTCCATTGTCACTGAATAATTTTCGTGGTGGACCATGAATGCTTATCCAGCAGTGAATAAAGTGCTTCACAATCTCTTTGGGTCTTTTTGTGGTGATTACACTTCCTGCACTGAACCTTGTGAAATGGTCAATGGCATGTAGATACCATATTCCTGGCTCAAGCTCATGTAAGTCCACAGCTACAGTTTCATTATATCTTGAAGCCATGGGTAAACCCACTGCGGGTTTGTGTTTTGGCTTATTGTATCTGATGCATATTTCACATGTTTTTACAATGTCCTTCAGGATTGTGATGTTTTCATCATCACTGTTACCTGAGCAAGACAAGAGTTTTTGCAGTCTGTCAACAGAGGTATGTCCAAATTGTTTATGTAACTTTAGCAGTACTGTTTTTTTTTGTCATGTTTTCTGTCACAATGAGTATTTAATCATCTGATCCATCATTTTTTATCTGGCTTCCACTTGTGTTCCTTTCCTTTCTCAAGTTCACACAATGTCCAGAAGATGTCAGTTCAAGTTTTACAGGTTTGTTAAACTGTTGCCTTGTCTTGAGCAATGTCCAAAACGGCACTAGCTCTCTTCAATGAAGTTTTGCTCAAAAGCATCGGTATATCTGCTGAAACTACTTCTGTCTCTATTTTGCATGTAGTTTCTCCAACTTTTGCCGGTAAAATCACTTTTCTTGTGGACTGCACAATTCTTCCATCGCCAAACCGGAAAGGTTTTGCACTCTTTCCATCTTTTATTTTTATTAACTCTTTCTGAGGTAGCCCACTTACATAATCTGCAAGCCATTTTTCTCCACAGACCGTTCTTGTACAGGCAGTGTCAATAACGGCAGATCCTAAAGCTTCCACCATAAAGGTCTGTGCATCAGAGGGAGATTTGTTTGAAAACAGAGTAATATTACACTCTTCAATATCATCTTTTGACTCTTCATTTGTTAGCTTTACGTGTTCTCTTTTATTGGGACAGTCCTTTACCCAGTAGGAAGTGCTTTGACATATTACACATTTAGTTCTTCTCCCATATTTGTCCAGTGGATTAGTCCCTACAGCCGTTTTTGAAACTAAGAGCAATGGCTCTGAGTTTGAACTCCGTTCACATTTGCCTGTTTTTTATGAAGGTGGAGTCACCCCCTTGTGGCGGACTAACGTTATCACCAAAAATTCTTTTCAAGGCTGATTTCATATTATCTAAAGACACGGTGGAACAGGTGGCAAGAGCCAACTGTTTGTCTCTAACGTTTAGCCCTGCTGTATCTAGTAGCTTAAATGCTAAAACTGCATCAGGTAGTTCCATTTTGAACTTACGTAACTTGTTGTATCGTCGTTCAAACTCGATGATGTTATCCATCATGGACATACCGTCCTGTCTGTTGATCCGATCAAACTCCGTGTAAGCTTCATATTGTCGATCCTTTTCTTCTTTTAAAAACACAGRGTCCAGCTTGGTCATAAGAACGTCCATTCCAGAAGCGGCATTAAGATCTCCCGCAGTGATTTCTAGCGCGCTTTCCCTTGCTCGTCCTGTTAGCGACAGGGTAACTGCCAGGGCCTGCTTCTTTTTGTCCAAGTCCATAATGAGTCTCCAGATTTCAATCTCATTTTTCCAACTTCCGTAAAACTTCTTCTCATCAAACAGTGGAGGAACCTTGTAATTCCCAGCAGCGGCCATCCTCTGCTACCAGTGTTAACTCAATAATCACACCGTAGATTGTAGAATCTCTCGTTTAATGGCCGCCATGACGAAAACCACCAACTGGGGCGCTCGAACAGAAAAAAAAAATGTATATATACAGTGGGGAGAACAAGTATTTGATACACTGTTGATTTTTCCGGTTTTCCCACTTGCAAAGCTTGTAGAAGACTTTAATTTTTATCATAGGTACTCTTCAACTGTGAGTGATGGAATCTAAAACAAAAATCCAGAAA